ATTTATAAACGATGTTTTTCCTGTTAATATCTTGCATACTGTGATCATATCCCTTCTGTTTCCTTTCTCCTCTATGGTTGTGAGATATAATGCCTTTAGGGTGCTCGTAGCTTAAGGGGTGACGCTGACCAGGCGAGCCTGACCACATGACTGTCCCTCCAACAGGTGAGCGTGGCCACAGGGGTGGTGCTGGCCCTGGCCATATTCTGGCTGCTCGGTTACTTCCTCAAATTGGCGCCATTGAGCCGTCGCCGGCGCTACCAACCCTCCCACAGCCTCCAGCAGCAGCAGCAGCAGCAGCAGCAGCAGGTCGCCGCCATGGCGGTGCTAGAGCAAGCACTAGACACTAGCAACAGGTGGATCCCTTTAGACTCCTAATGTTTTGGTGTCTGGATTTAAGGGCTATGAACATATATGTTGTCTTAAAACAAGTAGTGAACAACGGAGCTTAAATATAAGCCCAGAAAAATATATATTATATAGACAAATGTTAAGGTTGTTTAAGCCGTAGTTTTCTGACTGTTGTATTATTTGATGGGTTAAATATACGAAAGAGCTTGAACTTTTCGTTTCTTTATCCTTACGTGGAATAGGTAATTAATCAGTAAGTACCAAGAATGCGTATGTGTATATCTCGTAGGCTGTAGGACAATTTTATTAATTAAATTTAATCTTGCCCGAAACGCTATGTGTGCTAGTGGCTTTACAAGAATGTAAATACATAAATCTCAAATTCAAAAAGAAATAACAGGATGAAGTAGGATATGAAACCAATAACATCCCTGAATGGGCCTATACCTGCCTACCTATCTTGAGGTTATTTTGAGATGATGTCGGGGCTTAGCGCCCCCGAGGCCCGGTCCTCGACCAGGCCTCCTTTTTTGTTACACACACCCAGGAAACAGCCCGTAGCAGCTGTCTAACTCCCAGGTATCTATTTACTGTTAGGTGAACAGGAAGATCAGGGTGAAAGAAACTCTGTCCATTTGTTTCCGCCTCCACCGGGGATCGACCCGGAACCTCAGGACCCCGAATACCGAGCGCTGTCCACTCAGCCGTCAGGCCCCCCTGCTGACAATATTACCATAAGTGGTGATGGTAGAGACCGTCGCTCTACTAACCAGGCCAAGATGCTCTCCGGTAAGGAAGGGTTACCAGAGGATCCTCAGGAGAGAGAGAGAGAGAGAGAGAGAGAGAGAGAGAGAGAGAGAGAGAGAGAGAGAGAGAGAGAGAGAGAGAGAGAGAGAGAGAGAGAGAGAGAGAGAGAGAGAGAGAGAGAGAGAGAGAGAGAGAGAGAGAGAGAGAGAGAGACAGAGAGAGGGAGAGAGGTGGGAAAGAGTCCTGGGGGCCCCCCGGGGGGGAGAGCCAGAGCACCTCAGGGGTTCTGGTCCACCCATCACCCAGTGCTCTCCTCACACCCCCTCCCCCTCCCCACTGGGAGGGGGAGGGGGAGGGGGTGTGAGGTTAATATGGACGTCAAACCCCAAAAATTGTGCTAAATTGTCTAATGTTTTTATTTTTCAGCAATTTAGAAAGTGGAGTTGTAATGGTGAAACCTCCCACCTTGTGTCTGAGTTCGGTGACTGTGTACTGTACACATTCCTCGTCAGGCATTGTTTATTGCTTTGATGGTGTCTAGCTCCCTTGAGAGTAGCAAGTCCTGGTGTAACAATGATGTGATCCTGATGCACTTTAGTGTCAGCGCGGCTATAGAGGTTATTGAAGCATGTACAAGATATATATATATATGCTTCTGGTAAATGATCAATTCAAATATATGATTATAGGCGAGATATTTGATTTCTCAACCTCTCTTGCTTATCACTTTATACGTTGCTGTCATCTAACATGGTTATTGTACCTTACCTTAATGAATAGGACGAACCGGCATTTCAGTCTGGACAGAAGTTGAGAGAGACAGATGGACAGGAGTTGAGAGACAGATGGACAGGAATTGAGAGACAGATGGACAGGAATTGAGAGACAGATGGACAGGAGTTGAGAGACAGATGGACAGGAATTGAGAGACAGATGGACAGGAATTGAGAGACAGATGGACAGGCGAAGAGAGATCAATAAGAGACATAGCGCTGGACCGGACTTGAACGAGATACATTGATTGATGAAGATTAAGCCACCCAAAAGGTGGCACAGGCATGAATAGCCCGTAAGTGGTGGCCCTTTTGAGCCATTACCAGTATCAAGAGCTGATACTGGAGATCTGTGGAGGTGCAACTGCACCCTACGTGACGGGAGATGTCTCCCGTAGATACAGAGAGCATTTAGGCCGACTTTAAGGTTGGCTTGTGGGAGTCGACCTGGCGTGACCGTCTCCCTCCCCACCACCGTCACCACTGAGCCAGCGAGGCCCAGCGCTCACCCTCCAGGAAAACGGCGCGAGATTCGGGTTGGCGGTTAAGGAAGATTCAGCTCTCAACTCTTCCAGTTCTCATTTACTTAATAGCCCCGTTTTGGCGATGAAGAATTAATAAACACTTGAATAAAATAGTAAGAAAGGTGTAGAAAATGATAATACTTAACAGTCAAGACATTTGTTGTTGCAAATCAACTTTTGGGGTTTTAAGACTGAATTCAGCGCTGCCGGAGGCTCTATAAGAATAGATGGCGCCCGAAAACGTATAGTTTGCAACATTTTCACTACCAAAATGCAACAAAAACGTGTATAAATACATATATACATTCACAAACATCCTGAACCAATCCCCCGTAACATCTATCAGACATTTAGACGAGACCTTTATACATATAATGAGCCAGTTTGTCATAAAATGAAACGAGGCTGCGTCCAGTTTCTCAGAGAAGGGGGAAAGAAGTGTAGACATTCTCCTTGTTGCCGGGTTCTGAGTCGTCTGTACTGTTGGTGGTGTGGTATTTAAGGGTCGGTTAGAGGACGTCAACGAGCAGTGTGCTGGTTGTGCAAGGTTAGTGGTGGTGGTGTCAGCTGGGGTATTGTCAGTGGTGGTGTCAGTGGTAGAATTGTCAGTGGTAGTGGTGTTGGTGGTGTCGACAGAGTAGTGGTGGTGTCAGTGGTAGTGGTGGTGGTGGTGTCGACAGAGTAGTGGTGGTGTCAATGGTAGTGGTGTTGGTGGTGTCGACAGAGTAGTGGTGGTGTCAGTGGTAGTGGTGTTGGTGGTGTCGACAGAGTAGTGGTGGTGTCAGTGGTAGTGGTGTTGGTGGTGTCGACAGAGTAGTGGTGGTGTCAGTGGTAGTGGTGGTGGTGGTGTCGACAGAGTAGTGGTGGTGTCAATGGTAGTGGTGGTGGTGGTGTCGACAGAGTAGTGGTGGTGTCAGTGGTAGTGGTGGTGGTGGTGTCGACAGAGTAGTGGTGGTGTCAGTGGTAGTGGTGGTGGTGGTGTCGACAGAGTAGTGGTGGTGTCAGTGGTAGTGGTGGTGGTGGTGTCGACAGAGTAGTGGTGGTGTCAGTGGTAGTGGTGGTGGTGGTGTCGACAGAGTAGTGGTGGTGTCAGTGGTAGTTGTGGTGTCGACAGAGTAGTGGTGGTGTCAGTGGTAGTGGTGGTGGTGGTGTCGACAGAGTAGTGGTGGTGTCAGTGGTAGTGGTGGTGGTGGTGTCGACAGAGTAGTGGTGGTGTCAGTGGTAGTGGTGGTGGTGGTGTCGACAGAGTAGTGGTGGTGTCAGTGGTAGTGGTGGTGGTGGTGGTGTCGACAGAGTAGTGGTGGTGTCAGTGGTAGTTGTGGTGTCGACAGAGTAGTGGTGGTGTCAGTGGTAGTTGTGGTGTCGACAGAGTAATGGTGGTGTCAGTGGTAGTTGTGGTGTCGACAGAGTAGTGGTGGTGTCAGTGGTAGTTGTGGTGTCGACAGAGTAATGGTGGTGTCAGTGGTAGTGGTGGTGTCGACAGAGTAATGGTGGTGTCAGTGGTAGTGGTGGTGTCGACAGAGTAGTGGTGGTGTCAGTGGTAGTGGTGGTGGTGTCGACAGAGTAGTGGTGGTGTCAGTGGTAGTGGCGATAGTGATAATAACAGAATCAGTAAAATGAAAAACATAACAAAATTATAAATGCTTTTTACTATTAATTTGTATCATGTATTTTTGTATAATTTACTATTTGTATTAATTTTTATATTGAATTTATTTTAAGATTTATATATGAGTGTGTGTTAATAAAATAGTCTCACCGTACAGTAACGTCTGGGCCACCCTATATATACAGGCTTCCTGTCCCCCCCCCCCCCCCCCCCGAGAACACTAATTTTTATCATTAAAATAAAATTACATAGATCATTACACCCAATACCCAGAAGTCTTGTATTATTGCTTACTAAAAACTGAAACATACTAACATACATCATAAACCAAACCTGCCCTAGGCATAGAAATCATAGGCCTAACTGGCACAATCTTAGGCCTAATTTAGAACATAGAGACAGGCTGGCGGCGTCTCGCTTCATGCAGGTCGGCGTTCAATCCCCGACCGTCCAAGTGGTTGGACACCATTCCTTCCCTCCCCGTCCCATCCCAAATCCTTATCCTGATCATTTCCTAGTGCTATATAGTCGTCATGGCTTGGCGCTTTCCCCACGGGAGACATCTCCCGTCACGTAGGGTGCAGTCGCACCTCCACAGATCTCCAGTATCAGCTCTTGATACTGGTAATGGCTCAAAAGGGCCACCACTTACGGGCTATTCATGCCCGTGCCACCTTTTGGGTGGCTTAATCTTCATCAATCAATCATCGCTTTCCCGACATTTCCCTTCCCTCCCCCCCCCCACCCAACCACTTGGGCTGGACGGTAGAGCGACGGTCTCGCTTCATGCAGATCGGCGTTCAATCCCCGACCGTCCAAGTGGTTGGGGCACCATTCCTTCCCCCGTCCCATCCCAAATCCTTATCCTGGCCCCTTCCCAGTGCTATATAGTCGAAATGGCTTGGTGCTTTCCCTTGATGATTCCTTCCTTCCTTCCCCCCCCCCCTCTATCATCCTCATCCTTACGGGTAACTTCCATCGACGTGTTGCAGATGAAGGTTACAGTGTTGATCGTGGCGTGCATGGTGGCCGCGGGCGCCGCCGCGTCTGAGGAGGGCGAACGCAGCCAGCGACTGTTCGGGTTCCTGACCACCACCTCCGTCACCCGCATTGCCTCCACCACCATCACGGCCGTCACCACCTGCCTCTCCATCTCCGCCACACCTTGCCTGGGCCGCAGGAAGAGAGCCCTCTTCGCCAACATTCTGTAAGTTGGCCTCTGTGTGTGTGTGTGTACCTGCAGGCTCGAGCTCTCAGCTCTTGAACCCCGCCTTTCTAACCGTCGGTGGACAAATATACTAACTCCCGACCAATTTTTATACTCATATCTAACTCATTTTTATATTGCATATATTTATCTCTAACACACATACATCCCAGGAAGCAGCCCGTAGCAGCTGTCTAACTCCCAGGTAGCTATTTACTGCTAGGTAACAGGTGCATCAGGGTGAAGGAAACTTCGCCCAGTTGTTTTTCCGGCTGTGCCGGGGGATCGAACCCGGTCCATTTTGATCCACGAGTCTAAAGCGCTGTCCACTCAGCCACCACCGTGTGTGTGTGTGTGTGTGTGTGTGTGTGTGTGTGTGTGTGTGTGTGTGTGTGTACTCACCTAATTGTACTCACCTAATTGTGCTTGCGGGGGTTGAGCTTTGGCTCTTTGGTCCCGCCTCTCAACTGTCAATCAACTGGTGTACAGATTCCTGAGCCTACTGGGCTCTATCATATCTACATTTGAAACTGTGTATGGAGTCAGCCTCCACCACATCACTTCCTAGTGCATTCCATTTATTAACTACTCTGACACTGAAAAAATTCTTTCTAACGTCTCTGTGGCTCATCTGGGTACTAAGTTTCCACCTGTGTCCCCTTGTTCGTGTCCCACCCGTGCTGAAGAGTTTGTCTTTGTCCACCCTGTCAATTCCCCTGAGAATTTTGTAGGTGGTTATCATGTCTCCCCTTACTCTTACTTACTGTGTGTGTGTGTGTGTGTTACACTGGTCTAAGATCCAGATGTTCGCGCTCTGTTATTTTATATAGCTTTCATATATGTAATTTCTCTATAAACAACCCAGAAATGCACTGAAATTCCTCAATCCCCAGTAGCTCAGGCTACCAACACAACTCCACAAAATGAAATTCACGTGCATTTTACGGACACAAACCTGCACTTTACTGAGAAAACAACATTACTACTCTTACAGTCACTCATCTCCCAGTGAAACAAGCCTGATTCTTAAGGGCGACCGGAAATTTGGAAATTTGAATTTCGAAAAAAATATCCTCTTGTTCCTGTCCGTCTCAGGCTTCCCGATATCATCCTCAGCGAAGCTGACATCGGTCATCCTCTGTTCTCGTATCTTGAATGATATCCTCTAACGTGCTTCATAACCATACTGGCTTTGCACTTTCTTTAGATAATTACATACATACTCTCTTTTCTCACATCAGGCGCGACGCAGCTATTCAGAACGCCAACCCGTCCTCCAGCCTAGAGAGCAGTAAAGCCGAGGAGTTCCGTGTGGAGGGCGCGTTCAACCCGCAAGAGGAAGCCGAAGTGACATGGGAGGAAGGAGGAGCAGATGGCGAGAACGACGACGACGGAGAGAACGGAAACTCAAACGGCGGTAACAGCAAGAAGGGCCGCGCCCTTACCATCTGGACGTCACTGTTCACCACCATCACCATCACCAGCACCGTGGCCCAGGCCGGCACCACCATCACCGCCAGCGCCCTCTGTAGTGCTCCAGGAGCTGTGGCTGGCTGCTTCCTTGGCTAGCTACCTCGATCCAGCCTCAGACTATTTTTTTGGCTGTCCATCTGTCTCTCTGTCTCTCTCTTAGTGAGCTGTTCTCATGTATAGCTGCGCAGGTCTCTTACACTGTTGAAACTGCGCAGATGTTCCACTCAGCGCCTCATAACATTAGAAAACAAGTCCCGAAGGAAACCTTCATATAATAACACTGGGCTTTCCAGAGACCTCGAGTAGCCTGAATTTGTCAGGCTTCACATAGCAAAGATTATTTAAAGTTGATGAAGAACATATATTTGAAGACTGGAGCTGTAGGATGGAAGGGCCGAGGCTTCGTCAGGGGACCCGAGTGACGTTCAAACTGTAACTGATCAATACTAAATATGTTGTTTCCGGCATGTGAAGGATGACATTCCTGGCGGCAGACGAGAGTGTTCCCCCTGCCAGAGCAACACCAGTGACCGCAAGAGTGTAGGGGGTATGGGGCAGTCTCAGGGCAGCTTTGTCAACATAATCTTAATTAAGGAGACGAATAATACGATGGACAAGACTTACTCTATGACTTGTGTGTGTGTGTGTGTGTGTGTGTGTGTGTGTGTGTGTGTGTGTGTGTGTGTGTGTGTGTGTGTGTGTGTGTGTGTGTGTGTGTGTGTGAATATTATTCATCACTGTGTATTGTAGCAACGGTCAGCATCTCTCACGTGTGTACAGCTAGCATATGTAATAAAAAAAATAATCAATAGCCTGTATGAATTTCCCTGCGGCCCACCATCTCTCAAGTAGTGGCTTGTCAAGCCGGCGGCTTGTCAAATGTCTCCCATTTTATGCATGCTTTCCCCTTAGAGAACAAACGGCATCTGAGACGAGAACAATATATATGATTTTACACTTCATTAAATTTTACTCAATTCACCTTCCAATATTTTACCCCGTTTTGGGAACCTGCAACACTTGGGCCCCTGTAAACTTGGGCCCCTGTAAACTTGGACCCCTGTAAACTTGGGCCCCTGTAAACTTGGCCCCTCTGTAAACTTGGGCCCCTGTAAACTTGGGTCCCTGTAAACTTGGTCCCTGTAAACTTGGGCCCCTGTAAACTTGGCCCCCCTGTAAACTTGGCCCCCTGTAAACTTGAGTCCCTGTTAACTTGGGACCCCTGCAACACCTGGGCCCCTGCAGCACTTAGGCTCTCTACTCCAGGGTAGAGAAAGTTTCACGTGATTGTAGGCCACATCTGCATGTGGGGACACCACCTTCATGTGGGGACACCACCTTCATGTGGGGACACCACCACCATGTGGGGACACCACCACCATGTGGGGACACCACCACCATGTGGGGACACCACCTTCATGTGGGGACACCACCACCATGTGGGGACACCACTACCATGTGGGGACACCACCACCATGTGGGAACACCACCTTCATGTGGGGACACCACCACCATGTGGGGACACCACCACCATGTGGGGACACCACCACCATGTGGGGACACCACTACCATGTGGGGACACCACTACCATGTGGGGACACCACCTTCATGTGGGGACACCACCACCATGTGGGGACACCACTACCATGTGGGGACACCACCACCATGTGGGAACACCACCACCATGTGGGAACACCACCACCATGTGGGGACACCACCACCATGTGGGGACACCACCACCGGGTCCCAGCACAGGAGAGTGGAGGACCGCGCCAAGAGTCTCCTGAGAGCATCACTCTGAGATAACCAGGAAAGTGGTGCCTAATACGTCAAGTATTTTTTGTTTCTACATAAATTTTTGGGAGTTTTCCTGCAGATTGATTCAATACTTTCGTCAGTTTACGCAAGATTTTGCGTCATTAATTTAGAAATACGCAGAAATGCTGATAATTCTGCGTCTGAGAATACCGAATCATTTCAAATTCAAATATCTAGAACCCGGGAATACAATTTAATGCATCTTCCTATACCCAAAGGGTTTTTAACGAAGTTCCTTTACCTGATATGAGAAAAACCCCGGCCACTGAAGGTATATAAACCCGTGCCTGGGCTGGTCTGAACCTTACCACCGCTCTCCGCGTCAAGGTTGGTGAAGTCTCCCCCACGATGGTCCAAAGAAAACATTACATTTGTTGGAAAATTTGAACCTTTTAATTCAGATATTTCGAACTGAGTGGTTTGAATGGGTCGTTTGATCCACCTGTGTCGTGTATTGGGTGTTTAGATCATTTTGTATTGGATTACAGAGCATAAGTAATATTCTGCTTCTAAAATATCTTAGGTGTGATTTATTTTAAAGTAAAATATCGGTGCGGTATATCAAGTGAAGCTGTGATTGATGATGTCTTGATCTGTTGTTCCAATTGAAGCTGCGTAACTTGCTTCTCATCACTAAATGAAGCTGTAGTTGGTGATTCTAGACCTGCATCACTTTGTGAAGCTGTAGCTGGAGATTATTGACCCGGATCACCAAGTGAAGTTGTAGTTGGTGACGCTTTTATGGTATGCACGAGAGCATACGAAATATGGAGCACCAGCACCCGGCTTATTGGTCCACACTAGACGGTTCTCGTTTAAATCATCCCCCAACCCCTTTCTCTGTTGGCCCGGACTAAGTGGGTGCTGGATATACATAAAGGAATATATTCTATTGTTGATGCTTCCTATTTGTTGTATTTCGTGCAGTGACACATTGCTGTATTTCGTGCAATAATACATTGCTTCTCGGCCTCAGGTGGCTACTGGCTAAGACTGACAAGTCTCTCACAATTTGATCTATTCGTGACAGCATTATGCATGTAGTATATCGTAATCTTTTCCCCATGTTCAAGAGGCTACATTTCTCAACGTTAAACTACAGAGATACTTTTTTCACCCTGTACTGGGGAGTTTGCTTAAGTCTCTTCGAAGCTCGTCAGACTCTTAGTTGTGTCGTCTGTAAACTTGCTGATGTTATTAGTCACTCCTGTATCAAGGATGTTGATACAGAGACATCCACCCACTGCGATTTCACTCCGTATATGTCGATTCTTCTGTCTCTCTTCCAGGTTCTGATCAAATTTAATGTTTCCTCTGATGCCGTAGGCTTCGGCCTTTCTACGTAGCCTCATGCGCGGAACTGTGCCGAAGGCCTTGCTAAGGTACAGATATACAATATATTTATTATTGTTAGAAATGCCTCAAATGTGCTTGAATATAAAGTTATTAAACTGGTGAAAGGACGAAGGACCCTCTGTAAGCCCCCGTTCGGGGTTCCTATTCAACCTGTATTATTCTAAGTGACTTTTTTTTATTTTTTGTAAATCTGCAATTATTGCTTTTAAGAACTAACCAACTAATGATGCCAAGCTTATTGGTTGGTTGTTTGCATCAAGAGCTGTATATCCCCCCCTATCGCTTTCATCTTTTTGAATGCTAGGCTGCGATGGTGACTCTCCAGGCAGTGGGGACAACACCAGTGTCGAATGATTTAATATATCGGTTAGTGGCCCACTGAGCTCCTCCTGGCATTCCTTTAGGACATTGCCGAATGTCTTGTTAGGCTCAGGAGATTCATTGGGTCTGTCTCTCACTCTGTTTAATTATATCCTTCTTGTTAATCTGTTTGTTTATGCAGTCTGAAGCTGTAGTTGGTGACTCCTTGTCCCCAGCACCAAGTGAAGCAGCAGTTGGTGATTCGTTAGGTCCGCATCACTATGTGAAGCTTCTCCAATATCAATGAGAGCGAGATTGTCGTCTGGTCGAGCCCTGTGTTAAGGATCGTACCCTGCTATACTTTTGCTTAAGCACATATACAGCTTAGGAACTCAGTATGCTTAGCGTGCTTAGCTTAGCGTGCTAGGAACTCAGTAACTCTAGAGGGAATAGAGCCCACGTTCCACGCTAGAACAATTGAAGAGTTGCGATGAAAAATATTATTGCGTGAAGTGATTTTAACCCATAATAAATATAATAGGTGTCAGAGCCTCTCTCCGGAGTTTTCAAGATGATGTGTGTGTGTGTGTCGCAGATGAAGACCAGTGTGGCGCTGCTCCTGCTGGCGCTGGCGGCGGTGATGGCGACGGAAGGAGGAGAAGGAGGAGGCGGTGAGAAGATAGTGTCTCCCCTGAAGGCCGAAGACACACTCGGCTCCGCCAAGAGGGAGGAGAGGATCTTCGCCTTCCTGACCACCACCTCCGTCAAGCGCCTCGCCACCACCACTATCACGGCCATCTCCACCTGCCTCTCCACCGCAGTTGGCGCCACCTCCTGCGTCGGCCGCAGGAAGAAATCAGCCTTTCTGTCCATTGAGTAAGTCTACTTTTGATAATGATTTTTGTTCATTTCCCGCCAATTTCCATATTTATATGCTTGATGTGAATTATTCCCACTATTATATATATATATATATATATATATATATATATATATATATATATATATATATATATATATATATATATATATATATATATATATATATATCTGTCCGTGGTTTTGTGTTTTGGCATATTTTGAGATTTTTGTGTACATATTCTATATAAATTAGAATGTCGGTCTGTCCATTTGTCCGCCTGTTTGAGGCCGACTTCATTATCGCTACTTTTCTCTCCTTCACCACCTTCCTACCCTTCACCACCTTCCTCTACTTCCTTCACCACCTTCCTTACCTTCACCACCTTCCTCTACTTCCTTCACCACCTTCCTTACCCTTCATCACCTTCCTCTACTTCCTTCACCACCTTCCTTACCCTTCACCACCTTCCTCTACTTCCTTCACCACCTTCCTTACCCTTCACCACCTTCCTCTACTTCCTTCACCACCTTCCTTACCCTTCATCACCTTCCTCTACTTCCTTCACCACCTTCCTCTACTTCCTTCACCACCTTCCTTACCCTTCATCACCTTCCTCTACTTCCTTCACCACCTTCCTTACCCTTCACCACCTTCCTCTACTTCCTTCACCACCTTCCTTACCCTAAAAGGGAGCCGGTGGCTGAGCGGACAGAACACTGGACGCATGATCCTGTGGTCCCGGCTTCGATCCCGGGCGCCAGCGAGAAACAATGGGCAGAGTTTCTTTCACCCTGATGCCCCCTGTTACCTAGCAGTCAATAGGTACCTGTGGAGTTAGTCAGCTGTCACGGGCTGTTTCCTGGAGATGGAGGCCGGTCAAGGACCGGGCCGCGGGGACACTAAAGCCCCGAAATCATCTCAAGATAGCCAAGATAACCCTTCACCACCTTCCTTACCCTTCACCACCTTCTCTACCCTTCACTTTCCCTACCAATAATCACTATTATCTAAATCTTACCCGAATGAGCACCAAACATATATATTTTGAAGGAATTAATAAGTGACACAACTTCCCCCACGCAGCAAACTGGACGACTTCCTCCACCAGGAGCGTCAAGGACAAGCACTCGACGACACCCTGCTGACGGGGAGCTTGGAGGACCAACTGGAAGTCAAAGATGGCTTGAAGTCAGACAAGCGGGTACATGTGGACAGAGAGGGCCGGAAACTGACCATCTGGTCCACCTACATCAGCACCCTCACCCTCACCTCCACCTCCTACCTTACCGGCACCACCATCACCGCCACCGCCTACTGCATCGCTCCGGGCGTCACCCAGGGATGCTTCGGCAAGTAGAGCTGAATCCATTCGTGGCCAATTGCATCCTGTGACGCAGGGACGCATCCCGGTAAGCTAGAATGCATTCTGTAAAGCTGGAATGCATCCTGGGACGCACGAATGCATCCCGGTAAGCTAGAATGCATCCTGTGAATCTGGAATGCATCTTGGGACGCAGGAGTGCATTCTGTGAAGCTGGAATGCATCCTTTGGACGCAAGAATGCATCCCGGTAAACTAGAATGCATCCTGTGAAGCTGGAATGCATCTTGGGACGCAAGAATGCATCCTGGTAAGCTGGAATGCATCCCGGGAAGCTGGAATGCATCTCGCTACGTTTCCATGCATCCTGGTACCTACAAATGCATCTAGCATACAGGGACGCGCCCTAGAATAGTGACCATGGGCAAGGATGGACATAATACAAGTGCCTGGCTTCGTGGCCCTCACCAAGAACACGCACGTGTTTGGACTCACATTAACATGTACTAAAATTAGCAATACAGTATTCAACCCTACGATTTGTGTTAATATTTCTTCACGAAACCTTTTATAAACTTTAAATTATTTAAACCTATGTTGCAATATAATTGCATTGGCTCGCATATATATATATATATATATATATATATATATATATATATATATATATATATATATATATATATATATATATATATATATATATATATATATATATGTCGTACCTAGTAGCCAGAACGCACTTCTCAGCCTACTATTCAAGGCCCGATTTGCCTAATAAGCCAAATTTTCCTGATTAAATATATTTTCTATAATTTTTTTCTTATGAAATGATAAAGCAACCCTTTTCTTTATGTATGAGGTCAATTTTTTTTATTGGATTTAAAATTAACGTAGATATATGACCGAACCTAACCAACCCTACCTAACCTAACCTAACCTATCTTTATAGGTTAGGTTATTTTAGGTAGCCAAAAAAAGTTAGGTTAGGTTAGGTTAGGTAGGTTAGGTAGACGAAAAACAATTAATTCATGAAAACTTAGCTTATTAGGCAAATCGGGGCTTGCATAGTAGGCTGAAAAGTGCGTTCTGGCTACTAGGTACGACATATATATATATATATATATATATATATATATATATATATATATATATATATATATATATATATTATATATATATATATATATATATATATATATATATATATATATATATATATATATATATATATATATATATATATATATATATATATATATATATATATATATATATATATATATATATATATAGGGGGTACCACCTCTGGTGCAATTATAGGGACCCACAGCCTCAGAGAAGGGAACACAGAGCATTCAGGGAAAAACTTGCCATTTAACTCTGAATACGTAAGAGTGTTCGCTTCTCCTATCACCCCCCTTTTTTATGGTGTACACTTTATTATACAAGGTTATACAGTTACATATCTGATTTTATACAAAAAATTAACATTAAGAGGACACAAAAAAAAGTTCGCTTCCTAGAGGGTGTAAATTTCCTCGAACTCCTCCGACGCCGGGCAGGAACCGAGGATGCAGCGAGCATTTCCCCTCTGGATTGCGACACTGAGGCGCTGAAAGAGAAAACTTGCTGCTCTAGGGTCTCTTGTGGTGTCAATGAGCTTGGAACCAAGATCCTTGAGAAACCTTCTTGCACTCTCTCCCCCATGGGCCTAGGGTCTCAGACCCTATTGGAACGAAGTTGTACCGATGATCTAATTGCCTGTACTTGACTGACTTGTCTCTTTCTCTGCGCGTTGCCGCGGCTCCTGCTGTGCTGGCAGAGAGGTTGATGTATGTGGTTGCCAGGGTGGATACACAAGTATAGTCCCATGCCAACTGTCTGCCACCCTTCCACGGTCGCAGTGTGATTCCGTCTGGTCGGCCGGCAAAGCTAACAGAGTCACGGTTCAGTAGGTTGCGGGGCTCTCTCTCTGCTGGACACTGAGCAGAGGCAAGGCTTCTTTTAATGATGTCATATATATATATATATATATATATATATATATATATATATATATATATATATATATATATATATATATATATATATATATAGGGACCCACAGCCTCAAAGCCTCAGCCAACCTGTCTCAAAAACTCTGCATACGTATGTATGCAGTTCAATTCTCCTATATTATACAAGGTTACACAGTTACATATTTGATCGTTTACAAAAAGAGAACATTAAGAGGAAATAAAGGAAAGTTTGCTTCCTAGAGGCTGAAGATTTCTTCGAACTCCTCCGACGTCGGGCAGGAACCGAGGAGGATGCAGCGGCAACCCGTTCTCGCAAATTCGTATAGTCAGTATTGACTTATAACTACATGCATAGGTGATATACTAAACATAATAGATACCCTTAAAAAGCTTCATAGAAAACACCGACCTTACCTAACCTTGTTAGTATGTTAAGATAAGCATCTTATTGCTTCGTAATAACAATTATTACTTAACCTATACCTATAATAGGTTAAGTAACAATTGTAATTACGAAGCAATAAGATGCTTATATTAACATACTAACAAGGTTAGGTAAGGTCGGTGTTTTCTATGAAGCTTTTTAAGGGTATCTATTATGTTTAGTATGTCACCTATGCACTTATTTAATAAGTCAATATTGACTTTACGAATTTGCGAGAACGGGTTGCCAGCGGACATTTCCCCTCTGGAGGGGGAAGAAGGCTCTTCAAGTCTAAGGCTCTTATAATCTACAATCATCAGCAGCTTTCCTAGAATTAATTAAAACTACTCAGCCCGATGGAATCATTGCTTCCCTGGACGTCGAATCCCTATTTACCAACGTCCCAGTCGACACAACCATAGGAATGATACTGGACAGAGTATACAGAGACGAGAGCACCCCCAAATTAGACATACCGGAGCCACACTTGATGAGTCTTCTCGAGGCATGTATAAAGGAAGCTCCTTCCATCAGTCCGCAAGGAGACATGTATCTACAAATAGACGGAGTAGCAATGGGCTCCCCCTTAGGAGTGTTATTCGCTAATTTTTACATGGGAACCATCGAATATAGTCTTCAGTAGTAGACAAACTAGCCCCTGATGTGGTTGTTGTACTGGATATATATCTAAGTAACATCAGTCAATCTATATATATCCAGCCTTTTCATGTCGGCCTACGTCTTCACATGCTTTTTTTTATAACTGCGTTAATCCTAATATCCTAATAATTTTTTTAGATTGCGTTAATCCTAATATCCTAATCATTTTTAACAGCGTTAATCCTAATATCCTAATATTTTTTAAACAAAGTTAATCCTAATATCCTAATATTTTGTAAAACTGCATTAATCCTAATATCCTAATATTTTGTAAAACTGCATTAATCCTAATATACAAATAATTTTGTTAAAACTGCGTTAATCCTAATATCCTAATAATTTGTTTGAAACTGTGTTATTCCTAATAATTTTTGTTTAACTGCGTTAATCCTAATATCTTCAACGACAGGGTGAGTTGTGAATCAACACTGATGTTGGTTATGGGTTGAATTGGCGCTGCTCTTGGGGCAGTGTACCCACTGGGCGTGGGTTGGGTGTCTTCTCCATCCGGCACCTCTCGCTGTTGTCATCCGGAGAGCCGGCTATCAAGCCTGTTATCCGGAAGACTTCGCATATGTAGAACAGATGACCGGCTGGTAATGTGTTCTAAATATCACAGTCTTGGGCATATTTGGCCATCTTCTTGTTGCATTTTAACAAAGATCTTTTCGAGGTCTCGGTAAATTCTATCCGTGAAAATTTGGGAACTTCAGTTTTTGTGTATGTTAATAGTTGGTTGTTAAGTTTGGTTGTTAAACATATTTAACCCATCTTCTTAACTAAAATGTCGCGTTTTGTACGTTATATAACCACAATACCATCACCACAACAACACAACAACTCCACTACCACAACACCACCTCCCTCAACACCACAACACAACAACACCACCACCACTACTACAACACCACCACCAGCACCATAGTACCACCACCACACAACAACACCACCATAACAACACCACCGCCACAACACACCACCACCACTCCCACAACACAATACCACCACCACCACAACACTCCTACAACACAACACCACCACCACAACACACGACAACACTCCCACAACACAATACCACCACCACCACAACACATCACCAACACTCCTACAACACAACACCACCACCACAACACACCACCAACACTCCCACAATACAATACCACCACCACCACAACACACCACCAACACTCCTACAACACAACACACAAACACTCCCACAACACAATACCACCACCACCACAACACACCACCAACACTCCTACAACACAACACCACCACCACAACACACCACCAACACTCCCACAACACAATACCATCTCCACCACTACAACACACCACCAACACTCCCACAACACAATACCACCACCACCACAACACAACACAACACCACCACAACACAACACAACACCACCATAACAACAACACCACAACACAACACACCACCACCACCACCACAACACCCCACCACCACCACCAACCACTAACACGCCCCAACAAGTGTTACACACCCAGCTCCCGCCATCTGCAGCCTCAGCTAAAAATAACCACTGGTGATAAACCAGCATAAAATGACAGCATTACCTCCTGCACCAGGAAACAACATAGATATTCCGCCCCGCCTTATGTACCACCAATCGAAACCCATTTAGCTCCCATTTATGGGCACATGAAAGGTTTAGAATATCTGGTCGTAGGACACACGACACCTGTAGGACAAGGGGCGGGGCGGGGTACTTGACGGCTGGAGGGCAAGCTCGGGGGGCATCTTTGGCCATGTTATCCAAGAGCTTTATTCATCGTGGTGGCGAGATGCATAATTTCCCTCTCTCCCTTCCTCCCTCATTGCAACCTCCCGAGTGCAGCGAGAGAGAGGCAGGGTATATATAGGCGCTGGGACTCGAACTGGTGTCCATTGTGCCCCCCCTGTGCGTCAAGGTTGGTGCTAATGTTAGGTGTTCCGTCCTCTTCTGGGTACTGGATACGAAGGCACTGTGGTCCCTGTCGTTCTCCCAAAGAGTCGGGTACCTCGAGAACGCTCGCTACTCTCCCTCCACGGGAGAGGATGTTGGGTTCACTCTCTTCCTGCTGGATAGCTAGAGAACGCTTGCTTCTCTCACCCTGCAGAGTACTCTGAGAACGCTGGCCTGTCTCTTCCCGCGGGGAACCTTGAGAACGCTGGCCTGTCTCTTCCCGCGGGGAACCTTGAGAACGCTTGCTTCTCTCTTCCCGCGGGGAACCTTGAGAACGCTGGCCTGTCTCTTCCCGCGGGGAACCTTGAGAACGCTGGCTTCTCTCACTCTCACATCATGAACAATGGCGTCAGTTCTTGGATAATTGTCTTGGAGAAGCTCCAGCGTCGCCACTAGTCCACTAGGGGGAGCACAGCGCCCTCTGCGGCATCTCAGAGTGGATAATTCCTAGGCTTGTTGACCAAACCACACACTAGAAAATGAAGGACTAAATCACAATCGACTTGAGAATGGTCCAGGACGGACCGAAACGTCGTCGTCCCTTCACCTTCTAGTGTGTGGTCTGGTCAACATACTTTAGCCACGTTATTGTGACTCATCGCCTGCAATTCCTAAGCTTAATGTGGGTTTATAAGTGTAGTACATAAAGCTTTACTGACAGAATATTTTATACACTCCCAGGATAGGACACAAACAACCTTTATTGACCACTCGGACCTTTATTGACCATTAGTAGCCATTATTAACCCCCATTTACAACTTATTGACCTTACGTCAGCTATCCATGGAGCCAACGATGAAACAATATTGAAGAAACTTGCCGAATTATGAATTACATTCAATTTTCCAGGATGGATACAGGATTATTTATCCAAGAGGAAGGATGGTGTTCTGTGTAGAGGCATCAGTAGGACCATTATTAATACAGGCGAACTAACTACTCCTAAAGAGGGGTGTATTAAGCTCTATGGACTATGTTCTTCAGTATGTTAATGTGAAACTTTATTTGTGATATACCTTTACCACCTATGGACATTGTGACGTCATGCAGGCGACGTTTGTAGTGTGGGACACAAGGACAACTCAGTCCGTCTTAAGGTTTCCCAACGTTAAGAAAACGGTCAATGTAAAGTGCCCTTCTCCTAACCTACCAGAGGACCCAAAACAGAAAACGGGACAATACGTCACTTTCGCCAGTCGCTTCCATTTTCTAGTACGACAATTGTTGGCCTTATGTAATGCATACGAGCGAAATGCGACGTTCTTTGTAGAAAGGGGAACTAAAATGTAAGCTTTGCATGAGGCTGTAATTGTCTCCATCTCAGACAATAGGAAAACGGTCATATTTTCTTTGTTGATAAGACAATGGTAATCTTCTTTATCGATTTTGTCACTGATAGCAGTTTAAGGGGTCTCGTAGTACGGTTGGCTTCGTTCTCGACCCAAAATTGAGAATTTCAGGTTCGATTCCCGGGCGGGACAGAAATAACTGGGCATGTGTCCTATCACTTAATGTCTCTGTTTTGTAAATTGTTAGATTAATATATTTAACAAGTGCCCGCAGGGGTGCGTGAATCTTATATATCTTGGAATAGAGATCAGTGATGCAAATCTCATCATCAACCATCGTAAGTAATTAGTTAAGTTGTTTTGGAATGTCGTAAGTAATTAGTTAAGTTGTTTTGGAATGTCGTAAGTAATTAGTTAAGTTGTTTTGGAATGAACAAAACATGTTCGTCCCTTGTACATTGTTGACAAATGATTCTGGCAGCACACTTTGTGAAGAACGTCGCCACCGTTCCTCTGAGCGCTGTACTACTGAATATCTAGCTATCAAAATGAAGGGACGACGACGTTTCGGTCCGTCCTGGACCATTCTCAAGTCATTCACAATCGACTTGAGAATGGTCCAGGACGGACCGAAACGTCGTCGTCCCTTCATTTTCTAGCGTGTGGTCTGGTCAACATACTTCAGCCACGTTATTGTGACTCATCGCCTGCATCTAGCTATCATTTGTCTTAGACTTAGCATGCTGTCTGATCAACTATATAACTAATTCATTGAATTTATTATACCACTCTTTCCTAAAGGTTCTTGCCTATAATAGTGTTTTTAAATACTATTAATCGAAACCAAACTATCGTACGTGGTAGTCATTATTTAACAGCATCCTCATTGAAATGAGACCTCAATAACTCAAATTTCTTTCCCAGTTCACAATTTCGAGAGTGATTTTACTCTCACAGTCCTCCCTGGCGACTGCCTGGTCTGTGGGTCTGCTTTTTCCCCCCTTCGTAGCCCGAAGGAAAAAATAAACATAGCCATCACATCCATGCTGAACCCGTAACTCCATCACAGAGCTAACATATGAATATATCACACCCCACAGATGAAGGTGTGTGTGGTGGTGACGACCTGCCTGTTAGGCCTGGCTGTGGTGGCGGGCCAGGACGCCGAAGGGTCCGGGAAGGACACCAAGGGTCTCGCAGCAGCAGGAGGGATGCAGAGGATTGAGGGAGATAAGAGGCAGGAGAGACTGCTCTTCGCCTACTCCACCACCACTTCCATCAAGCGCCTCGCCACCACCACCCTCACCGCCATCTCCACCTGCCTCTCTACATCGCTTAATGCTCCGGCATGTCAGGGGCGCAGGAAAAAGTCGCTCACTATTAGTCTTGAGTAAGTCTTCAAGGTAGCTACTTTACCATGAGTCTTGAGTAAGTCTTCAAGGTAGCCTCTTTACCATGAGTCTTGAGTAAGTCTTCAAGTTAGCCTCTTTACCATGAGTGTTGAGTAAGTCTTCAAGGTAGCCACTTTACCTTGAGTCTTGAGTAAGTCTTCAATTTAGCCAATTTATCATAAGTATTCAGTCTTCAAGGTAGCCAGCGTAGCTAAATCAGAACGGATTTCCATCAAGAACCCCCCCCCCCAACACTGCCACAGTCCATAATTTGAATGGTATTGTATAACAGTAGTGGTGGTAGTAATAGCTGTTGTAGTTTAATTGTCAGTGGTAGAAGTAGTTGTAGAAGAGGTGGTAGAGGTAGTCTCTGCGGCAGCTGGCCTGTCTACATATCCATACAGATGCCAAAGTAGCAACTTTCGTTTTTGAAAAGATAAACAAAGTAAAGATAAACTTTGTTCATCTTTATCTAAACTTTGTGTGTAAAGATAAACAACACTTTTGTTGTTGATAATGGAGTGAACGGGTCAGAGAGGTGGGAACTAATTATGAATATATTAACACCTGATACAATTACAAATTTGCAACAACAGAAATCTGAAGAACTTGTCGGAGGACATGGCACTGGACCTGCTACCCAGCCGGGCGGAGGTGGAGGAGGTGGACCAGCCGGCCGGCCGGCTAGTGTCGGATCGAAAGGGCCGGAAATTCACCATCTGGTCGTCATATATCAGCACCTTGACCCTCACTTCCACCTCCTACCTTACCGGCACCACCATCACCGCCACAGCCTACTGCATCGCCCCGGGCGTCAGCCAGGGATGCTTCGGCAAGTAGGCCTATAGACAGTGCCCCCACACTAGCACTCGGGCCTACCTACTATAGGCTTTCGCTATGCAATACAACGACAAAGGAATTTAATTGATCTGTCATGTATTTAGACGTCATTGTTCTGTAATATTTGTTTGGACTCAATTTCCGTGGACTTAAGTTATATTATTCAATAAATATTAAAATATTACCAATGTTTCAACTTCCTTCTTTGTGCTAGAGACTATCGGGGCTCATAAAAGGTTGTAAAGGCATTTTTCTCATATCGCAAAGACTACAGGCTTGGCATATTCATTAAAGAACACGATCAGTGTTTGTTGACGGGAAAAATTATGAAGAAATGGTGATGAGCACATTTGAAAGTGGCGCCAAGGAAGTAGCTGGCTTGTGTACGCTGCACTGACAATGTGTGAGGTTCCTGAAAAAATTTAGGAACAACAGTGCCAAGAGTATAAGATAAACATTTCCATGTACATTTGCTGGCTTAAAGTTAAGACTGGAGAACAATGTTAAATGTAGATATCTAGTACAGGACCTAATCAACTAATATATGGATGTGGAAGGGAATATTATAAATTTGAATAACATTGGAACAGTTGGCGGGAACCCAAAGCCGCCACCGCCGCCTACTGTGTCAGTGATAGAGTGGGACGATATTGAGGACTCTGAGACTGATCGCGTAAAGGCTCTCTGTCCACATGATGGACTACGTGTCTGCTTCAGAATTATACATAAGTATAATTATACATAAGTGTTTAACATATAAAAAGGTGCAGTGTCAAATAGCATAGGATGACACAGATGGTAGGAGATTATTTAGACAATGCACGATTTGCAGGTGGCCATCCTTGCATTGAAGGATACATTGATAAATGCTTATAATTGTGTGGATAACTGATTATTTCAAATAACTGGGCCATATTAAATGTTATGGACTGCTGAGTATATAACCTAACTTGGCTATATTAAACATGTAGCCTAATGGCAATTGAGATTTTAGATATACAGACGATCTCGAACCCATTGTTGATGTGACGACTTATACTGAAATTTTGTAACTAGCTCATCAAGATTGTAACTTGCTTAGCTAAATGAATTGTGGGGTTCAGTCCCTGAGCCCATTATGTGCCTCTGTAACCCTTTCTATTACCGCCCACAAGATGGGTATGGGGTGCATAATAAATGAACTAAACTAAAAAGATATACAGAGACTGTGTCAGCCCTCACAGTTCACTGTGAGGCTCTAAATAAGATTGTTCATTACTCTATAGGATGAATGTATATGGTGATTTGAGGTGGGCTGGGACATACTGTAACAGTATTTTGATAATCTATATCCTGTAGATGTTTTTGAATGCATGCAAAGATGTATGCAATTGATTTGAATGTTTATATATTCTTTGTTAGAATATATAAATGGACTTTTATAGAATATTGTTATGAAAAATCAAGATTACAAATAGTTCAGGAATTTTATAGATATTACTTTGTCCCTAAGAAAGTTAAGTTTTGTTCCTGTAGTAAAAGATATATAATATTGTTTGTATAAAGTTTTGTTAAGTCTGAAACAAAAATTAAGATAATTTAATCTCATTTACCCAGAATAGAATTAAGTCAGAAAACACACACACACACACTATAATATATATATATATATATATATATATATATATATATATATATATATATATATATATATATATATATATATATATATATATATATATAATCACAAAATATTATACCCATTGTTTCGTGTTCTGTCTTGTGTTGAAAGTTTGTTTTCACCTCATCCGAAATTGTTGTAACATATCACCTCACCCAAATGCAGATATATATATATATATATATATATATATATATATATATATATATATATATATATATATATATATATATATATATATAATGGTAGCAGGCTTTCTTGTAAACTTGTGTTGTTGAATATGACCGAAAGGGTAAAATTAATAATTCTAACACGAATCTTCTCAATATTTCTTACGTTCTTCTTCACTGTCGAGGGTAATTGATAAATTAACTCTCCGAAATTCATTCTATATTTCTGCTCTGACGCCTGAACGCGTTTCGTAATTCTTATTACATTTTCAAAGACTTAGTTTACACATAAAATTCATCATACTTATACTCGCTTTGGGTGATGTAATATGGCACAAAAGTTTTGGGTGAGGTGACAAAGCTAAGACAGAACACGAATCAATGGGTATAAATTGGATATGAAAACATAAGAATGAAAGTAACTGTGGAAGACCTATTGACCCATACATCCTCTTGCTACTTCTATGTTGGTACGTGGTCTTGAAGTGGGTAGAATATAGTTGTGCATTAATTGGCTATTGATTGCTGGTGTTGACTTTTTGAAGTGTAGTTCCTCGCTGATGTCGAGTCTCCTGCTATCGCTGTATTTATCGATGATTTCTGAGTTGCTTGTTAAGATCTCTCTGGTGATAGTCTGGTTGTGAGAAGAGATTATATGTTCCTTGATGTAGCCCTGTTGTTTGTGCATAGTTCATTGCCTAGAAAGAGACGTTGTTGTCTTGCCTATATACTGAGTTCTTTGGGGCTTACAGTCCCCTAGCGGGCATGTCATAGACGTGCAAAGGCATAGACGACGTTGGTGTCCCTCAGGGCGTTATACTTGGTGTCTGGGGAGTTTTTCATGAGTAGGTTGGCCGTATTTTTGTTTTTGTAGTAAATTGTCAATCGTACTTTCTGATTTTTGTTTGTAGGGATAACGTTCCTATCAGTAATGTCTTTCAGGACCCTTTCCTCCGTTTTATGAGCCGTCGAAAAGAAGTTCTTGTAAAATAGTCTAATAGGGAGTACAATTATTGTGTTAGTTGACTCTTCAGAGGTTGCATGGCATTTCACCTTTCTTTTTATGACGTCATCAACAAAACCGTTAGAGTAGCCATTGTTGACTAGGACCTGCCTTACGTTATAGAGCTCTTCATCGACTTGCTTCCTTCCTGAGCTGTGGCTGAGAGCCCAGTCGACGTAAGCGTTGACAACACTCCTCTTGTACCTGTCTGGGCAGTCACTATTGGCACTGAGGCACATTCCTATGTCTGTTTCCTTTAAGCGTCAATTTTGCGAGCCGCTGTAATTTTTAATAACTCATTTGTTTGGCCTCATCGGATTTACACGTCAAAAATGCGATGTTCTTCTCGAGAGGATGAGTTTAGTCGACCACAAAGCCATGTGTGTACTCACCTATTTCTGCCTGCAGGATCGAGCTCTAGCTCTTGGACCCCCACTTTTCTAGCCGTTGGTTGTCTAATGCAATGACTCCTGGTATATTTCTCTATCATACCTGCTCTTAAAGTTATGAATGGAGTTAGCCTCTACAACTTGCTCCTTTAGGTCATTGTGTGTGTGTGTACTCACCTTTTTGTACTTTCCAATTTGTGCTTGCGGGGTTGAGCTCTGGCTCTTTGGCCCCGCCTCTCAACTGTCAATCAACTAGACATAACGTGTGTGTGTGTGCTGGAGACTCTGATAGAGTTATATCATGTTTGTTAGTGTCGGGAACATGGGCGCCTCCTGCTCTGAAATGATCATGACTAGTACACAGAGACTGAACAACTGGGCAAGCACGACACAGACCGAGCTATTGGGCATTTATCTAGCCACTGAGTATCTTAAGCTCAATTGTGGTGGAGTTATTCTCTGTGACTCTAAAAGTGCTCTGCAGTCCTTAAATAACCCATCACAATGTATATCTGAAGTAGCTTGTAATATTAAATGGAATGTAATTTTTGCCAATGATAATAACTCTTGTATAAAATTTGTGTGGATCCCATCCCATGTTGGAGTTGGAAAACATGACTTTGTAGATCAATTGGCCAATGAGGCTTGTAGGAAAGAAAACATTGATTATGACTTTGGACTATCTAATGCAGTTATTAGAAACATACAAATTAAAGAAATTAATTCAGATTTAGAACTAAGAAATGCCCAGAGACCTGAAAGCTGCAGTATTAAAAGCTGTGACAAGTTTTGTAATAATAGGTATTTGTATGGTCAGCACAGTAACCGAACCAGGCAATGTGATGTAGTCATTGCGCGAATTCGCCTTGGCTATAGACACATCTGGCAGGTTAGTGAGGCTGAGCCACTACCAGAATATTCAGATTGTAAACTCTGTGATAAACCTTTAATGCATTCACTAGAACACTATATTGTTGAATGTGAAACCGTAAAGGACTTTAGACCTCCTGGCCTATTGTACCACCAACTGTGTAACTATTTCATTGACTCAGGTGTTCTGGACGACATCCTAACAATTTATCCAAAATTTGCTTGTCCATTTTAAAGAATGAAGAACAAATTTTATTTTTATTTATATTACTTCTAAGCTGCATCACTTATGAACCCATCCCTGCCCTTGTGTGGCAGTGCACAGTAGAAAGTTGTTTTCGCATATCCATACATTAAAACATTGATTGTAACCATGATATATATGTGCTTCAGCCTACAGTTTAGACCTATTGTCTTGTGTATGACCCTCTGTCCTGTGTGACAGTGAATACCAGCATTATCCTCACTTTAATAAGACTATCAAAATCCTCAGATTAGGCAAAATTGTAATTAATTTTGTCAATAAAGATGTTAATAATAATAATCCTGCCGAAGACATGCAATCGAACCTACCAAAACCAAAGATAGAAATGGATATGAGAATCATTATAACAATGTTCTCTTTAACACTTGCCTTAAAACACCCATTGTGGGTTCCTCGGAAATCCAGAAAGAACTTCTCAGTGTTAGAGCTGTCAATAAGTGGAATAGGTTAGATGTAGAAGTTGTTGAAGCTAATTCGATTACAATTTTTAATGAAAATATGATGAAAACGTAAGAAAAAAAAGTCATTGCATTAATATAAGGACGTTAGGAAGGCGGGGCTAGACGTCTAACTCGACCCTGCAAGCACATGTAGGGTCGTACATCTATGCGAGTACACCCCCTCCCCCACCTACATACACTCAGAGGTCTTCGCGGCCGAGCGTACAGCGCTCGGGGATCATAATCCAAAGAGCCCAGGTTCGATTCTCGACTCCGGACCCTTTGGGTGTGGTTTGCGGCAGGCTGACTTGCCACGATCCACATCGACCGGAACTAAGAGTAAGAAAACTGTCGAACCAAACTCCCAACGACCTTGCGCTCAGACTGAAACCCACATATGCCACACTCCACCACAACACCCTTCCTCCAATCCCCAATCATGGCCAGATACCAAGCATGCTGCACTACTGTCACGCCAAGAAAACAGATTCCATCACAACGCAAAACTACTTCATAACCAGGATCGCAAAATGTGACAAAACATTACTCATAATTTAAACAATTCATCAACTCATCAAATCCAGGCCTAATTTTGATAATCATATCGTGGTTAAGTTTCATACATAATCCCATTTTCCAACACCCTTATATGCAGAGACAACAGTACCAAGTGCATCACAAAAGCAACAGAGTACAGCTATAAATATAGGAAAATATATGACAGACATAATAAAGTGTGTATCCCCTTGCCGCGTTCCAGAGACATTACGTTACCTCCTTTAGTGACAAAATTAATTTCAAACAAGTGATTATCACGCCCAAAAGGGGGGAAAACTCTCTCACTATATATAAAATATCAAACAGCCATAGCATTGGCTAAATATCTTCCGTCAACCAACAATTAAGTCACATTTTACTGATAAAGCTCATCCACCGGGACAATCCAACATAGAAAACGAAACTCCACAAAACCAAAACAGTAACGCTCAGCTGACGCTGTAAACAGCCTCGCCTCCGGGTGCAGTCATCGAAAATGTAAACCCTAGATGCAAACTGCACGTACCATCAAGAAGAAGATGATCCTTCGTCGTCAAATGATTCAAGGCTCATTCTAAAACACATCTGGTTCAGTCGTCGCTCTTGCATTAAGTGAAAACATCACCTACTTCCAAGCGTTGCCAAATAAACACTGACGTGCCACTGTGACGGGACTCTCAACATCTCCACTCGTGCCGTCATCAGGAGGAGCAGCATCACGCAAACTACACATATCTTCACGCAGAAGCGAGAAGGTGGTGGAGGCCAAAACCGTCATTGTCAAAGAGTACTGGGAAGACGGGACACTACGAGCTTAGTTCTTATCCTGGACCTACACTTAGGTAATTACACGCTCTGTGACTAGGCTACCAATGTTATTGGGAGATTGGGACTAACATGACAAAAGATTAAGTGTTTAAGGTTCTGTTTGGCAGTTTGTTGTATTCTTAGTACGTGGGTGAAGTATTTACGTCCACCGCCCACGGGATGGATATGGGGTGCATAATAAAGAAAGAAATTGAATTGAACCCGTCCTCACACTAGGCTGCTCGAAGCAGCGACCGTCCTCCCCAGACTCATAAATTTTAACATACTGTGTATTAAAAATCGGTTTGTTTTCATATATAAATTAATATTATTGTACATTAATATTCTACTTATAGTTAGTCGTAGGTTAGATTAGGTGTTTAGGTTCTGTTGGCGCTTATTTGTATTTGAAGTACGTGAATGAAGCATTTATAACATTGTGGTTCGAACAGATGTCGTCAGCAAACCACCTGTTCCGAAAGTGTTCGGACGTTATCAGTTGTTAGTGGTGTGTAAATCGTTTTTCATTCATAAACAGGGGGGTTTGGCGGCTGGATTAACGAGCATATGTCATTTGTTTATGACACAGGGCTGTTTGCAGGACATAACAGTTGTGCCTGTAGTACGTGGGTGAAACATTTACAGAGTTACGATTCAAACAGAGGTCGTCAGCGAAGCTTCGATGACGTTCAGAGGTTCGAGGATTCAGAGGTTCGAGAAGTGTTGGAACGTCATCAGTTGGGAGTCGTGTGCACGCGAGTACTGTGGCAGAAACTTATCGACGCCTCAAAGCCTTAGTGCAGTGTGTCACGTCTTCTACTGAGTGCTCACGACGTCTCGCAAGATTTGTGGATGCGATAGTGTTGTGTTAACCCCTCATCGCACTAGACGAGGTGCGCCCCCCCGCCCCCCCCCAGCGAGTTCCTCCTTCAGAACAAGGTAAGCAGCTCCTCCATCCTCAATCGTCACCTAAACTGTTTATATATATATATATATATATATATATATATATATATATATATATATATATATATATATATATATATATATATATATATATATATATATATATATATAATCCATATATACGGATTAAAATGTGATCGTTTATGTGTTTACGAATAATATTTGAGGTATATGAGGATTGAAATGTCTAAAAGCACTTCAGTAAAGTGCAAGCCTAATTCGTTTTCATGTCATTACAGGTAAGTAGTTGCAGATCTTCGAGGAGCAGATATATCCACCATTTTGAGGTACGTTCGTATTTTCCTGTTATTTTCCTCGCTATCTTTTAGAGATCCAGCAAACCCAGGGTGTGAAAGGTGTTCCTTATTTTCGGCCGTGCATTTCACCCAAGCTAGCGCCCTAGACCATTACACCACGGCATAGTCAAAAGCAATATGCCACCTGGGATTCCATTGAACCCTCTAGGAGCCTTGAGGCTTCCAACTGAAGCCTAATCAGTTATTTTTTTTGTTTACCCATTGACCCGATTTTCTAGTTACGTCTAGTTATTAATGTTTTTTCGTTGCTCGATGTGTTTAAATGTTTTCTGAAAAATCCGACTTGCTGTCATCGAATATATTAAAACTGTTTTATACGAACTCAAAGAAGAGATCTCAAACAGGAACGATTTCGTGACACTAATGCTGGAAGTCTTGAACTCCATGATGTTACTTGGTAATTTCGAATGCTTGTTTCCGTTAATTTACCAACTACCTACCGCCAGCTACTTGACCGATTATTACAAGAAGCTACTATTTCGCTGCATATTATATTTTGTTATTCCATTGTGCAAGCTTCCACTCCTCTGTGTTAGTGTCTTTGGTGGGGGAGGGGGGGGGAATTTTTTGAAGCATATGACCAGCTGCGTCATGACGTAATTGATATGATCAGCTGCGTCATGACGTAATTGATATGACCAGCTGTTGCATGACGTAATTTTCAACTTCCTTTTATATTACTGAATAAACTTTGTCTGGGCCAAAACTGATAGAGCAGAGAGGACACAGAGGCTCTGCTACGATAGCGGGGGATGAAGAGAATGTGAGAGTTGATGAAAATGCGAGAAACAAGTGCAAGAGAGAGGAAGGAGGATTTGAGGGTAAGGTTCCATGCAAGTTATCTAACGAGACAGATGACTGATGCTTGCATGATTTATCAGTGTTTTAAGGCAATATCAATAGGACCATTTGAACCATCACTCGATAACTTATTTCGGCTCTGACTATTGGGGAGAGTTGTCTCTTATACCTTACAGATCCTCCAAGTTGGTCAGCAAAACGCGGACTGAGTGTTATACATTTATTACCTAATTTTCTTATAATACATGAGGAAGAGAATCCAGAATACATAGCTGCAATAAATGCGATAAATAACGAAGGATTAGTTCATGTCTATGGTCGACGTAGCGAGTGGTCGTGTGGCGGCGTCAGGCAGGAGGAGGTCCTGTCTCTCTCTCTCTCTACTTGCCGAAGCATCCCTGGGTGATGCCCGGGGCCGCACACATGGCGGTGACGGTGACGGTGGTGCCGGTGAGGTAGGAGGTGGAGGTGAGGGTGAGGGTGCTGAGGTAGGTGGACCAGATGGTCAGCTTCTTGCCGTCCCTGTTCACCACCTCCCTCTTGACTCGTTCTTCCACCTCGCCCGGCTCGAGCTGACTTCCCGCCAACTCCCCGAACGGGTCTTTTCGGTCGTTCTCCAACAGCCTGTGGGAGACAGATGGGCAGTGGAGGGGTTATCTTGAGGTACATAGCCTTCCCGGTTTGGTGCCTTCTATTGATAATTACTTACTTACTTGAGGTTCTTGAGGGCGTTTGTGATCTGTGACAGGTCATGACTCGTGGTTTAGAGGCTTTCTTATAGTACAGTAGTGGGTTTGTTTTTATTTTTACCTTGTATCACAGTGAACAGATGGGGGTGTGACTGCGTGTGGGGGTGTGAGTGTGGGGGTGTGACTGCGTGTGGGGGTGTGAGTGTGGGGGTGTGAGTGTGGGGGTGTGACTGCGTGTGGGGGGTGATTGTGTGGGGGTGACTGCGTGTGTGTGACTGTGGGTGTTGGTCGGGCCTGTAGACGTGTGTTGAACATGACAAGAGAGAGAGAGAGTTAGATAAGTGATCCTACCACGATTATCCTCATTTTTGACCATGTTCAAAACTTAAGGAAGACATTTAAAAATTACCATTTGAAAAACCGTTTTACAATTTGAATGGAGCCGATGTGCATCACTAAAGGTCGCGATTCACTGAAGCACGTTTCTTTCCCTACTACAAGAGCCAGAAGATCGCGAACTTACTCGTGAACAATTCTCCTCCCATCGTGAAGGTGAACACTTTGAACGATATGAATGTCGTCTATACCTTTACATTCCCACTAGGGGACTGTCAGCCTGAACGATCTCAACATATAGGCAACACAACATCTTTTTTGCAACACCTCTGACTATGCTCTAGACACCTCTAGTAGGGCCTCGTAGCCTGGTGGATAGCGCGCAGGACTCATAATTCTGTGGCGCGGGTTCGATTCCCGCACGAGGCAGAAACAAATGGGCAAAGTTTCTTTCACCCTGAATGCCCCTGTTACCTAGCAGTAAATAGGTACCTGGGAGTTAGTCAGCTGTCACGGGCTGCTTCCTGGGGATTGGAGGCCTGGTCGAGGACCGGGCCGCGGGGACACTAAAAAAAAAAAAACAAACCCCGAAATCATCTCAAGATAACCTCAAGATGCACAAACACCTTCATCCATCAGAGATACATTGATCAACAACACATAAATGAATCAACCAGGGCAACAACGGCATCAGAGAGTTAGATGTAGCTGAAGCACTACACGTCAAACATCATACTATAATCAGCCAGCTTACTCTTCGGTGCACTTTTGCTCTCTGTAGTACAGGAAGAAGATTCGCTCAGTACGCACTTCTTCACCCGACTTCAACTATGTTATCCCATCACTTCAACTCATCTTAAGATCACATTCAAAGATCCAAAGATCACATTAGGACTCACGACCAAAGATCACATTTGGACTCACGACCAAAGAACACATTTGGGCTCACGACCAAAGATCACATTTGGACTCACGACAGAAGATCACATTTGGACTCACGACCAAAGATCACATTTGGACTCACGACCAAAGATCAGATTCACCCTTAACACCTCTTGGGTGGCTTAATCTTCATCAGTCACCCTCATCCTACCTGGAGTGTGCTGGCAGACGTTGTGCGTCCACTGCCTCCGAAGATGCTGACGTGAGCTTCAGCGAAATGCGTCCTTCAGTGACAGATTATTTTGGTCATATTTAATAACATACTCTCTGCCTACAAGAAAGACTGCTACTCAGATACACCAATAGCCTAATATGTTTATATATGTATATATCCCCCCACCTCTTATCCCTCTCACCTCTCTCACACCAATCCTTACTCTCTCACCCCTTTCCTCTCTTCGCTACTCCTCCCTGCAATCCCCCCCCCTCTCTCTCTCTCAAGAGGAGAGAGGGATGGATAGAAGGGGGAAGAGTGGGGGAGAAGGTATAGGGGGAGGGGATTGGGTGAGAAGGGGAATAGAGAAGGGGATGATAGAGGGGAAGGGGTAGAGGGACTTGGACACAGCCAGGTACCCCACCTAGAATAAATATATATATATATATATATATATATATATATATATATATATATATATATATATATATATATATATATTTACATCACTTTAACTCTATGACCCCTTAAAGAATTCGAACCCAGAGGTATTCTGACTACTACACCAACGATCGGCTGGTGCAGTGGCCAGAGTACCTCTGGGTTCGAATCCTGTGAGGGGTGATAGAGTTAAAGTGATGTATGTGCTTGAGGGGGATCACTCAGGTTTGGCTCACACATGTATATATACAAACACTAGAACGCACAGCAGATTTTTAAAGACTGTCCTCTTCTTGCGGCCCTGACACGCCGGCGAAGCGGTGGTACTGAGGCAGGTGGAGAGGGCGGTGATGGTGGTGGTGGCGAGGCGCTTGACGGAGGTGGTGGTGTATATAGCGAAGAGTCTCTCCTGCCTCCTGTCCACCTCCAGTCTCTCCTCCGTCTCTGCTGGCGAGGGATGACCCACGTCTTCGGCACCTTGCGCCTGGGCGGCCACTACCGCTGCCAGCACTCCACACAGCGCCGCCACGCACGCCTTCATCTGCCGCCACAAGCCTCACGTTACATTACTACACAATGATAAATGCCATTAATAATAACAATAATAATCACATACAATTATAATCACATAAAAGGAACGTTTCAATTTGGCAGCAGGACGCTGCTTCTGGAAACTTTTTTAAGACTACTCATAGCCCAGTCGGTAGAGCGCCGGCCTCACACGCCTGGGGTCCAGGGTTCGAGTCCCATACAGACCAGGAGAATGAGAAGAATAAAGTCTTTGTGTGAAGCCTTGAAGTGCGGTGACCTTGCCTGGGAGGTCACCAGAGACTTCAAAATGGTGACGTTTCTGATGCTGTTGTTGTTGTTAAAGATTCGCTACCTGGAACATAAAGTTCCAAGTAGCACGGGCTATAGTGAGCCCGTAGGTTTCTGATGCGTCTCCAAGGTGGTTTTGGCCAAGTTTCCCTGCTGCCTCCAAGGCAAAGACAGCAGGGAAACTTGGAACTCCAGGGCGCACTAACGGTGGGGCGGATACAGCGTTCTCTGTGTGGTGGAACAGCGTCAAGTGGGAGACGCTGGTGGACCTCCGGAAGGCGCTGTTGCCACCACAGCACATCAAATTGGGCCTTGTGTAAACAATTCATCACACCTCTAAATAAGGAGTCGGTAATCTTCGAGTACCTTCAGCACTTCATCCCTAAGCTGTGTGAGCTAAAGGTAAAAAACCAGGTGTCGTCATTGAACCACAGATAAAGAAGATTCTAGAGTGCAAGGAATTCCACAAGAAAGTGGAACAGCTTTGTCGCAGCGATTTGAAACTTCCCGAGTGATTACCAGGCCGAAAAATATGAGGAACTGGTTGAAATTGTTGGAAGGAAGGAAGGAATTATCAGGGGGTGGTGGGGGGGGGGGAGCGCCAAGCCATTACCACTATAAAGCACTGAGATGAGGTCAGGATAAGGTTTTGGGATGAGCCTCAAGGACTTTTGGGTCACCCAAAAGTCCTTGAGGCTCATCTTAATGAATTCAATGAATAGGAGGTAGGGGGCTCGGAGGAGCAAGGTGAGGGCTTCCACCAGGATATACCCGCCTTTGAACAACGCTGACAAGGACAGTATAACGATAACATACTGTGAGGCTACGTTTCGGGGGATTGATTCGTGAAAGGGATTTCCAGTATAATCGTCAACATTGTGTGATTATTTTTGTATAATTTTAGTATAATTACACGTTAATTTTCATTCACATATGGTTTTTCTAACTTTATCTGAATGAAAAAAAAAATGTAAATTGACCCGTTTTCTCGCTGGACATATATAAATTTCAAAATTTCACTGACCTGGTCACAAAAGCAAAGTTTGAAGGGAATGATAACCATTCTAGGCATAAGTAATGAGCAAACAACACCACCCAGACCCCAGGAACTAAAATAACATGTAAACAACTCAAAATAAATAGATTTGGGTGCAACTTACCCCATCACTTTTGTGCAGTCGTCGCGACCGTCGAACTAGTGGGCCAGATCAAGTGTGTACTAGTTGTCTAATCTTACTTTTAAGCGGTGTAAAAAGGTCTAAAATGGTCTAAAAAGGTCTCAGTGTTGTGGTCTAACACTTTTGGGCTGAGCTGAATCTTCTCTCTGGGCTTGAAACTCGTTCGATGTCAAATTCATTTGTGAATTTATCGATGGAGGCAAACTTGTGCATTAAGGTGACTTGAAGGGTGTGTGTAGCCTCCTGGGACTGATGTGTGTGTGTGTGCTTTTAATTATATGCCGAGACGATTCAAGATGGTATTGTGAATTAGTGAATTGAAACATCAGGAGAAAGCACCTAGCCATTACGACTATATTGCACTGTGTGAATTAGTGAGTGATGTTATATACATCCTTCCTGTAGGTGAAGTGTGTGGCTCAGTGTGTTAGTAGTATGAGATGCAGCTGATGTTGCAGAGTGCACAGTTACCAGAGTGCATTTGTGTACATAAACTACATATGTACACTGGTGTTATTAGCACTGGTAAATGTTAAACCCTTCCGGTGAACCTGCAAGTATTTCCACCTCTGCCTGAAGAAACGTTACCCAACACCTATGGTAAATTTGCAACTTTACAACGCGGTAATTCTCGTAATGTTTAGAATTATCAACACGTAAAACCCTGTCCTGCGTTCAATATCCCAATGCGTCTACCTTCACTGCATCCTTATATATCCTCCCTCATGTCCTGAACCTGATTTCTTCAATTCAACAGCCTCACAAGCGTAAAATATATGAAGACTGAGGAAGGTGGGGGCGAGCGCCATCTGTCTCCATAACCGAGAATCGATTCCAAAGATATTGGGTTCTGGGGGAGATCCGGTGGACCCGGAGGGTAGAAATAGCCTAAGCTACTCTATCCCTTTGAGATGTATTTTTTTCTTGTCTCAATAAACATACTTGAACTTGAGGGGTAGAAATAGCCTAAGCTATGAACAAATCCGCAAGGGCCGTGACGAGGATTTGTTCATTTGATCCATCACGCAATTGTGATTTCTGTGTGTAGCCTAAGCTACTCTATATCCCTTTGAGATGTATTTTTTTCTTGTCTCAATAAACATATTTGAACTTGAATGGTGGACCCAGGAGGTTCTGTCATAGGTGAATGGATGTGTACTGCTGGTGAGTATGAGGATGCGGCGCCTTACCCACGAAATTCGAATTCTGTTGCAGTGAGGATGGTAGTTGTTGTGAAGATGTGGGGCCTCTTCTTGATGAGGACAACGGCGGGAACCACAGACAGACATTTCAATGTTTTATGTGTTTCCTAACCTGTGTTTGAAGCTGTAATTCTGTACGTGTTTTGGTCGCTTTCAGGTCATTCCGTTGACACAAATCAACCTAGCTAAACCTCCCTACCTTAGGCCTGTGTTCAAACCTTTTTATATATAATAATATTACTCTGCATGTGACAAAAATGTTTGTTGAGTATACCGAATATAAAAATCTGGCGATTTTTGTCCTCTGTTTTTGTTCTTACTGTACTCTGTTTTTGCGCATGTCACAGGTTGAATGTCTATGCATATAGGACAGATTGAGGACATTTGCCAGGCGACGGTGACCTCCGTGACCGCATCAGTCTAGTGAACCAGGTGCCTACTACTGTAGCTCTGAATCAAGGGACAAAGTTAGCCTAGAAATACAAGGAATTTTCGGACCGGTACTTATATAATAAGTTAGCAAGCAAAGTTGCACACCTTTCTGCAATAACAAAGGTACAAGTTTAAAATGATATCTAGCACGTTTTAGCAACGAAAGAATAAATTAGTAATTTCCCTTCGCACGTCACACAATGGAAAAAAATACGTTTTTGATAATTTCCAAGATTTCGAGACACTGTTCAGCGATCAATCGTCTTCCGAATGAATGCTGCGTGACTCAAGATTTCTTCTTGTAGATGGCCCAAGACACATCAGTCGGTAACACGAAGCCACTATAACTTCCTCAGGAGTCAAAAACGTGTTCCCCCAGCCGCCGTGAACACCTTAAAGAGTGTCGAGTTGGGATTTCTTTCACGAAGCTTCGAAGCATATGGACACGGGGTCACACAATATGGAGTCAGGTCAAAGGTCAGCCACAAGGAAGTGATGAACTATGTGACGGTACGTTGTCACTCGCTCTCTGGAGTAGAGAGGCTGTGTGAGAGAGTATTGGGCACACCAGCCAAGTCAACAACTACTCCAACACCAACCAACCTTGTCGTGCAGCAGGAGGTAACGAGGCCTGGTTTTGTAAGGGCTGCCATTTATATACTCCGTAACAGCGCGCCAACCAATGCTCAAAAAGTCGACCACAGACCGTTGCTCGCGGCTCCGGGAAAAAACTTTCAAAATTTCAAATCATGGAGAGGGAGAGGGGGGGGGGGGGGGGGGTTAGATCGTTACCAAAGGCGTTGTCCACTGATCTTTTCTCTTGTTTCCAAATAATACCAACTTCGAACGTCACATTATTCTCTTGTTTGCTTCCTCTCGCCAATAATCGCAGCAAATAGAGAAGAGAGAGAGACAGACAGACGAAACTTGTTCGTTTCGAAAGACTAATTTTGGGTTGAGTTTTCCTTGTACCAATATTCAAGAAAAAAACGGAATACTATTTTTAGACTTGAGACGTAGATTTTTGCCTGTTTTTCAGTGTGAGCTGCACTCACTGTTGTGGTGTGACACTGTCCACACTGTTGTGGTGTGACACTGTCCTCACTGTTGTGGTGTGACACTGTCCACACTGTTGTGGTGTGACACTGTCCTCACTGTTGTGGTGTGACACTGTCCACACTGTTGTGGTGTGACACTGTCCTCACTGTTGTGGTGTGACACTGTCCTCTCTGTTGTGGTGTGACACTGTCCACACTGTTGTGGTGTGACACTGTCCACACTGTTGTGGTGTGACACTGTCCTCACTGTTGTGGTGTGACACTGTCCACACTGTTGTGGTGTGACACTGTCCACACTGTTGTGGTGTGACACTGTCCACACTGTTGTGGTGTGACACTGTCCACACTGTTGTGGTGTGACACTGTCCACACTGTTGTGGTGTGACACTGTCCACACTGTTGTGGTGTGACACTGTCCTCTCTGTTGTGGTGTGACACTGTCCACACTGTTGTGGTGTGACACTGTCCTCACTGTTGTGGTGTGACACTGTCCTCACTGTTGTGGTGTGACACTGTCCACACTGTTGTGGTGTGACACTGTCCACACTGTTGTGGTGTGACACTGTCCACACTGTTGTGGTGTGACACTGTCCTCACTGTTGTGGTGTGACACTGTCCTCACTGTTGTGGTGTGACACTGTCCTCACTGTTGTGGTGTGACACTGTCCTCACTGTTGTGGTGTGACACTGTCCTCACTGTTGTGGTGTGACACTGTCCACACTGTTGTGGTGTGACACTGTCCTCACTGTTGTGGTGTGACACTGTCCTCTCTGTTGTGGTGTGACACTGTCCTCACTGTTGTTGTGTGACACTGTCCTCACTGTTGTGGTGTGACACTGTCCTCACTGTTGTGGTGTGACACTGTCCTCACTGTTGTGGTGTGACACTGTCCTCACTGTTGTGGTGTGACACTGTCCTCACTGTTGTGGTGTGACACTGTTCTCATTGTGGTGTGACACTGTCCTCACTGTTGTGGTGTGACACTGTCCTCACTGTTGTGGTGTGACACTGTCCTCACTGTTGTGGTGTGACACTGTCCTCTCTGTTGTGGTGTGACACTGTCCTCACTGTTGTGGTGTGACACTGTCCTCACTGTTGTGGTGTGACACTGTCCTCACTGTTGTGGTGTGACACTGTCCTCTGTTGTGGTGTGACACTGTCCTCTCTGTTGTGGTGTGTCACTGTCCTCTCTGTTGTGGTGTGACACTGTCCTCACTGTTGTGGTGTGACACTGTCCTCACTGTTGTGGTGTGACACTGTCCTCTCTGTTGTGGTGTGACACTGTCCTCTCTGTTGTGGTGTGACACTGTCCTCACTGTTGTGGTGTGACACTGTCCTCACTGTTGTGGTGTGACACTGTCCTCACTGTTGTGGTGTGACACTGTCCTCACTGTTGTGGTGTGACACTGTCCTCACTGTTGTGGTGTGACACTGTCCTCTCTGTTGTGGTGTGACACTGTCCTCTCTGTTGTGGTGTACAGGTTCCTGAGCCTACTGGGCTCTATCATATCTATACTTGAAACTGTGCATGGAGTCAGCCTCCACCACATCACTGCCTAATGCATTCCATCTGTCAACTACTCTGACACTAAAAGAGGTCTTTCTAATATCTCTGTGGCTCATTTTGGTACTCGGTTTCCACCTGTGTCCCCTTGTGCGTGTACCACCCGTGTTAAATAATCCAGAGTCTATTATCATGCCTCTGAGGTTAGGATATCACTAGCCTAGTGATTAATTTTTGCATTATTAAATAAAGTTACTGTATATTATTCTCCTATGCATTTTATATATTTTCCTTTAATTCTGAGTCTAGATCTTGAATTGTTTTGGACATTACCTGTGATCTCTTGAGCATTTTTATGAGTAAATATATTTCTCGTGTATTCATGAAGTTAATTTGAAAGGAATTCCATTCACCCAGTAATGTTAAAAGATCAAAGTGCCCTGCGCTCCTGGAGGAGTGGTGGCGGCCTTATTTGTTTATGAGTGAGCGTATCTTTTCATATGGGCTGTAAGAATTGTAAATATATTTTTAACATCTTGGTCATTACTCCTCCCTTTCCGCTGATAAATGAATGAGCATTTCCTGCTGCGAGGGCTGACTTTTCCAGTTGTTTGGGGGTTATATCAATGCAGTTATTTCAGTCTAATGGTTTATAAGTTATAGCAACCATTGATGTGAGCTATTTATA